CTTCCTCCTTATTGTGCCAAGGTGGAAGGTGAAGTCATTATAAATGAGCATAACCATCTTTGCTTTTTCTGTAACATACTTTGGCAAATTACACTGCATTTAAAACCTGTTCCCATTTCTGATTTGTGTATATACAATGGATTTGAAAATACAATTTTGACAATGAGAATAATAAGAAATATTGAAAAATTTAAACAAATGATTGCATGACTATCTTCCAAATTCTACCATGAATATTTTTCACTTTCTTACTATCCACAGGCCGCCTCCTTTTGAATTGAAACAAGTAAAAAAAACATTAAGTTCGGTCGGGCCAAACTTTTAATACACTCCACATTAGGGTAAAGGAAACATTAGAAGAAATGTGACAACAACCATTAAAATGCCGAATATTGGGAGGTATCGTTATATGGGGGCTATACCAAATCGTGGACCTACATATGCAATGTTTCGCCAACGGAGCTAGAACCCATTATGACCTACAAATACTAATTTTTAGACCAATCCGTGAAAATATGTGGCAAAAATTATCAAAATACCGAATATCGGGAGGTACCGTTTTATGGGGGCAATACCAAAACGTGGACCTATACATGCAATGTTTTGCCACACATACAGAGACCCGTTATGACCTACAAATACCAATTTTCAGACAAATCCGTGAAAAAATGTGGCATAAATCATCAAAATACCGAATATCGGGAGGTACCGTTATATGGGGACTATGCCAGAACGTGGACCGATATATCTCATTTTCAATACCAACCATCCTAGACACAATACAAATTGCTCTGCTAAATTTTGGCGCTCTACGTCAAATAATGTGGGCTGTATCGTGATTTCAACAGACAGACAGACGGACAGACAGACAGACAGACAGACAGACAGACATCGTTAAATCGACTTAGAATTTTATGCCGATTATGAATATATATACTTTATGGGGTCTACGACGAAAATTTAAGGATGTTACAAACGGAATGACAAAGTTAATATACCCTTCTTTCCAAGGTGGAGGGTATAAAAAGCTGAACTAATTTTTATGACACTTGAAATTATTAAATCATTTCGGGGCGTTGAGAATTATTTCGTCACAAAAACTCGTTTTGCTTATCCACATTATTTTATCTGGATCGTTACAACGTTTTGCAATAACTTGCCCGTTTTTAAAGAAAGATAAGATGAAGATTTCTATGAAATCACGCAGCGTTTCAACTGATAAGAAATGTTCATAATTCGACGTTGTATATTAAACTTTTAAATTTATAAAGTTTTTCGTTTTATGCAAAGATATGCTTTAAATTGTTAATTATTTATCTAATATTTTTTAGTGAATATATTAAATTAGATATTCAGGAGGGAGGACATACATATCAAAAATTCGACAAGAGTGGATGGGCAAAGACACACATAGTTTGCAAAAAAAAAAAAATGATACCCATGGTTTTCCCAACAAAATGCCACCAGATGCTATGCTAAATAAAATGGTTCTGCTTTTCCGAAAAATTAAAAAAAGTGTTTTTAAGAAAAAATATTGCCTTTCACATAAGTTGCAACAGTTGCAAAATGTTTGCTCTGCAAGTGGACACATTAACCCATTTCCATGTTAAAGATTATGAACTCTTCGTGGAATTCTTCGAATGGCCATGTGTTAATTGTTCTTCTTCGATGGACGGAGGCGGCTCAAAGTTAATCAGACAATCCTTTCAGATCTTTCACATGTTCACCAAGTTAAAGGTACAATTGTTATTGTTGCTGTTGCTGTGGATGTGTTGCTCAGAACAGAAAGAAAAACAAATGTTCTGATTGGAATTGGCCATTTGCAGTTGTAGGAACAAGTGGGTGGTTGGATGGGATGAACGAACAGCAACTGAGAGGATGTCGAACTGAACTACGGAGGACGGTGAGAGAAAGAGAAAGAGCTAAAAACAAATATTTATTTAAGAAACAAACTTTACAATCAAAACAAATGAGAATAATTACTTTATGACTCAGTAAAACATATTTAAATGCCTTCCTTCACGGCGCACGGTGGCTTTAACGTGCAAAAATATTTGTATATAATTCTATTACAGAATACGAGATGCTTTAAGTGTCACAAATTAAAGTTATAAGTCATTAAATTCCATCCACCATATTACGGAGGGTATATTAAGTTTATAATTCCGTTTGTAACATCTCAAAATATACATTTTAAATATATTTTAATATATACTTTATTATTGATCAGCACAAAATCTATGTCGATCGAACGATGTTGGTCCGTCCGTCTGTGGAATTCACTCTAACTTTCGAACAAAATGAAGTAGGTTGATAAAATTTTACTCAGATGTGTGTGTAGGTCTGCAGGACTTTTTTATTGAAAATGTGTCCATGTTTTGGTATACCCCCATATAACTGTACTGCCAGATTAAGGGTTTTTAGTTGTTTTAGTCACAATTTTTATCCCGAATTTGATGTAAATTCGCAATTGCATAGCACTGTCAGTATAGGTTTGAGTTTTGCTATAATTCCTATATAACAATACCTTCTGATTTTCCGTATTTTGATGATTTGCTTCACCATTTTCACCGGAAATATATTAAACTTGGAATTTAAAGTTCCTAATGGGTATTACAGCCCATGGCAAAATATTGCTCCTTATATTATGTATTTTGATGATTTTATTATTTTCGTATTATAAGTTCGTAATGGGTACTACAGCCTGTAGTAGAAAAAAAAAACGTCTTCGTGTAGCGGTAGGTCCCAATGTTCGGCATTACTCACCGAAATTTTTTCAAGGTCCGAATATTGAATATTTTAGTGGCATATGACAAAAATTGCCTATGCGTTTTCGTATCGGTATTTTTTATGATTTCAACGGATTTTTATACCCTCAGCCATATGGCTAGAGATTGTATATATCAATTGATACGACCAAAACGTATCTCATCGAAATAATGGTTTTAGACCTTAGGTCTTTTAGGACCAAATCCGTTTCAGGAAATTTGGAGTCGATCTAGTGTTATTCGTCGTTTTGCCCGTCCCTCAGTCAGTCTGTCTGGCTGGTGCGCACGATAACTTTCGAAGGAAGTATCCGATTTGATCCAAACTGGGTACATCGTAATATTTTTGTCAAACTTAGATCGAGTTCGGATATGGGCAATATCGGTCCACTCCTTTGTGTGCTTCCCCAACAAAAGGTCGAAAATTTCAAAAATATATTTTAGTACACAGAAAGGGAAAGGATAATCCGATTTTGCTCCAACTTTGCAAATCCTAATATTTCCATCAGTACTAGGTCAGGTTAGAAAATGGACAGTATCGGTCCACACCATCTGGTAACCCAACAACAACACCCCACCCCCGCCACCAACAAAGAGTCCATTTTCGGAATATCCATGAAGCATATAAAACGCGAAATTAACATCCAATACCCTTGAAACATCTCAATATTTTTATCAACACAAGATCTGTTGTAAAAATGGTAGAGATCGGATAATTTCTTTTAGTACGTCCCCCGAATATGTATAGTACACATTTACAATACCTCCTTCATATCTTAACCACAGACAGCTCGGGATTTCAGCCCTATTACCAATACCAAATATGGTGCCATTCAGTACTTTTCGTTCATTTTTAGTACACATTTCCGGAACCACCTCCATATGCCCAGCCCCAATACAAAATTTCAGATTTCGAGCACTAACTTAAAATTTCAAAATTTCTGCTTCATCCGTTCAACCTAAACCAAACTCTTCCAAATCTAATAACATTTAGTACAGTTCGCACACTTTTCCAAAACCACCTTCATACACAAATTTCATATTTCAAAAACCTTTGGTGCATCTATTATGCGCTCCATCAATGACTCTCATTCCAAATTTCAGAATTGTAGCTTATTCCGTTTTTTTTTCACAATTGTAGCTTGTTCCGGTTTCATTGGCCGTTTGAAGAACATAATTCGTGCCAAAGGTGACCAATTTGAACATATCAAAACTTATTCTAAAATTTGATGCTATTTCCGACATTTTTTGCTTTCATTCAATAAAATTTAAAAAAAAAAATGTAAAAAATTATGGCGTTAGACTTTGTTGCAGTTTTTTATCTCACCCTGTATTTGTTTACCCAAATCCAAATTCAGTACGTATTAGTACATATAAGTACAAGTTTCCAAAACTACCTCCATATCCCAATCCTACACATTTCAGGATTCCAACTCCATTCGTGCCTCCAAATTCGAATTGTACCAAATTTAGTACTTTTCGTATACATGAGTACACACTACCGAAACTACCTCCTCACATAGAACCCTCCTTTCAACCTTGGATCCATGATACGAAATGGTATTAAATTTAGCAAATTTTGGTACATAGTTTACGAATAAAGAATCAAATTCTGAGCCGATTTTGATGTTTGCTAAGTAATCTATGCTTTCGTTGTGCACTAGATAAGAAAACTTTACAAGATTCCGAAAATTTAATTACAATTGCTTACTTTGGCTAAAAAATGTACCGTGAGGAGCCTTTTCTAGTTAAGTGAAGTAGAATTGTTAAGAAACACCACATTAGAATCGATTTTCCCACTATTAGGTTTAATTGACTTATTGACAAAACACATTCTTAAGTTAATCTATTTTGATAGTTTTTCTTGGATTTACGCACTGTGCCTCCAACCCATCGCAACATCACGGGTCTCTTTAACTCAAAAGTTTTTTGTTTACGGAAAATACGGAAAATCGACTCAAAGTAGATCTTTTTTTATTGCCATGTACAAGAAGTGAAGTGAAACAAAAACACACAAACAAAACTACTGATATAAAATAAAACAAACACAGAGTGGAGAGCAAAAAAACAATAGCGAATAGCAAACAAACAATACAGCAACTACATCAACTATAAACTGCAAAATGTGCCTGCTATTCGAAAAAGAAAAATATTGGAAAAGTGAATTTTCTGTTTTCTGAGTTCCGTTCAATTATAAATGTCTGTTTGTTTTCTTTGTTTTTTCTGCCATTTTAGTTTTCCCAAAGAAAGAAAAAAATCAGAAACAATTGAATTGAAATCAAAATTCAAATCAAAATAGAAATAAAAATTCTCAACTATTTGAATCTATCCCGCCGTGGCCATGTAAACAATAAAAGCGAAAGGAGAAAAGGCGGAGAATCGGAAAAACAACATAAATTGTAATTTCGCAATTTTTATGGGATAAGAAAATTGCTATTCAGAATCGAATAAAACAAAAGTGAATTAATTCGAAATTAAACACTGCTCCGTGTGTGTCCGAGAGTGTGGATAAATACAAATTAAATTCATCGACTATTCGACTGGCAGTCTGACAGGTTCGCTCGCTCACTGGCTGGTGATTGTTGTTAATGGTGCTCCATTAAGGCCAACGCGCGAATGTTTATTTATTTTTCTGTTGTTGCTGCCACTGTTACCACCCCAACCGGCCATCTGCTCAATGGACCATTGCTCACTAGGATTTAATACTGTTTCAGTTCGTGACATGATAGATGATAGTCTGGCTGTCAGTTGTTGAATAGAATTCCATTATCACGAGTCTATCATCATCATCATCATCACAACCAGCCTCAGCATCGTTGGCTTCTTCGTCAGCTGGATCAGACTTTTATTGCCCGTGCTGGGAACTATTGCTCTTGCTGTGGATTGCTAACAACTATCAAAGGCATAAATTAACCAAATTCCAATTGCGAGCTGACCAAAATTATTATTTTTACAATAAGTGTTTGTTATTGGCTAACTGCTCGTTGGTGCTCAGCGAACAACAGTCCCCATTAGGAACAGTCGACTAATTAATGCGGTAAGTACCGAATTATTGCAACAAATTTAATTTTAATATTTTATTGCCTATTACGGGTCATAACGTCAATTTTAGAATTTTATTTTAATTAACGCCATTTTCTGTTCAATGAAATGGAAAAGATGCAATATTTGCTGGTTATTAATGCAGACAAAATAACCCAGTAAAAATAATCATTGAAAACTAAGCAAAGGCTACAGACGGATGGGACCTACCATTTGATGCCCTACAACACTGCAATTTGCGGTAAAGTTTCTGCAGATCTTAAACCCTTTTGATTGGAATGAAGATTCCCGTAAGATACATCGCCATATCTACTACATAAAAAAGCAAAAGTTGAACCTTATTGCTCCTATTTTCGAATAATAGTCATAGATCTGGAAGCAATATCTTCCAAACACATACGATCTCTAAAAAGGCATCGGTATGACTAAGTACTTTTTCTTACTATGTCAGATACCAAATTTGCTCACTCGGAAAGAACAGAAATTTCACACTCAAAATGTTTATGCATGAAATATTGACCGTTTTATTTTATTTAAAAGTCTTATCTTGGCTTTTGATGGAAACCACAAATCTTCGTAGCATTTGCCCTATATTTACGCCCTATGTTGTGTCAAATGGTATTCAAAACAAAATTTTTTAAATCTAGTTTCCACTTTTTAATTTCTTGCATCTCCGCTATTTGGCTATATTCATCAACAAAATCACCAACAATGTAAACGACAAAGGTGCGACTTTCTTGTATTTGTCATCTCTTTAATTCTGGTATTTTTGCACTGACACTTGAGGTCCATTTCGCCAGTAAATATTATCTGAAGACCATCCAAAATGATAAGCTTCAGTGTAGTCCTAAACTCTAACCTCATAAAAAATTGGTCGTTAGTTTTTGGTCCATTTTAAAAACTAAATATTTTGTGATCATCTTCCAAAATAATAGGCTTAATTCTGAACCCAACCCCATCCTGCAATTCAAAATTTCGTGTAGATCGGACGATAATTGCGACCTGAAGCTTGATTTCAATTTAACATGGACAGACGGACGGATATACATAGCTAGATCGACTCAACTCGGCGAGATAGGAAGATCCACATATATTGTTATAATATCTCCAACACATAGTGCTGAGGGATATCAATGGCTTGTCGGACGAAATAAGTAGCTATTTTCTAACCACTTAAAGTTGATAAAAAAGCTTTTAGTGACTAAAATCGAAATAAATGTACTTATTTTTACAACTTTTAGTTGCCGGAAAGTAAGGACTTACATTGTACAGCAGCAGCGCTAGTTAAAATAATGGGTTGATAACCCGATTTGTGATGAGTAATTTTGCTGGGATATTAAAGCGTATACTTATTATCAATCCTGAACATTAAATATTTTTGATGAAGTGTGTAAGGTAGGAAAGGGGTCTAGTTATCGGGATCTAGATCGTTTATTCATGCCAGACAAACACTCCAATCTTGGAGGACTTCTCAGTTTAATGTCCCTGTTAGACCTGAACTGGGTTTTAACAGATCAAACCGAGGTAGACTTGTTTCGTCTTCGATTTTATCTTCATTGATATTAATGAATTTTGATTATTCAGTTAGGCCTTTAATTCCATTTAAGCATTCATGGCGACGGTGTGACCATACGAACTATTTGTGGAAAATTCTAGACGGGTGTCTGTTGGAATAAAAATATTATAGAGGGGTTTCGTGGCAGTACTAAGCAGGAAGAGTCGTGCGATCATACATATATTTTTTTAAAGTACCTTGTACCGTTTACATCATCTCACTCTCAAAAAGTATATTCATATCTCCGTGATAAAGAGCTATATGAAAGTTAAAAAGCACATAAAATTCATATTTTTTTAGTTGTTGTATTAAATAAAAACCGTTCATTTAATATAATTCATTCCGATGTTGAGTGCACTTTTTCGTTAGAAAACACACTCGAACAAACAAATTACAGATATAAAAGGAATCCAAAAATATTTTGGATATTTGGATATGGAAAGATATTGGTTTGGTTGTTGTTGGTGGGAACGGATCTTCTTCAAGCATTCCGAATCGTCACACAATTTCGAATCCATATTGGAGGAGGTCAATTGATTGTTTTTCAAGAACCAGTTGGGAACTTTGTAGTGCAATGGGTTGCAGATGACGGTGACGATTTTCTCGACCTCGTTTTCAGTGCATTCACCTGCATGTTTGGTCAAATCAATATATTCATTAATACCAACTTTGCGTTTACCATCAGTGTTGGTATTTATAATACACAAAATGTGTTGGAAATTTTCTGGGATACTGCACGACATTTTGGCCTTTTGATAGCCACCGATTTTAAGCCGAAATTTGAATTGATAGTACGGTCCATAGAATTTAATGTTTCAAGATTATTTTGTGCAAATGTTGATCGCTACTGCGCCTCAAATGACCCATCTGCCCAGTCCGATTTTTGCCATACTACAATGTTGTCTTCTAGTGCGTCAATTGAAGCGGACTTGTCTGTGTAGACATGAGCGGTTTGGTTTAAAAAGTTGGATATCATCTCATGGTAGCGCTCATCATTCACATTTACATTAGGATTTGCAGCGTATGGTCCAAGAATGACACCTTCCAGTCACTTGTGGCTTTTTCTTAGTGCATTGGTAGCTTTTGAAGGCTTCTGGAGGCTTCTGGCTAATGTTTATTCCAAAGTTGTCAATTCAATTCTGGTATCTGAGTTACCCATTGAGCCAACGCTCTATGTTACCAAAAAAAGGTGTACTTAAATTGCTTTTATAAGCCCATGTCCATACATAGCGTGATGTAGATTGAAAATGGTTAGTAATATAAAAAAAAATCGGTCTCAACACATTTTTATACCCTACACCACACTATGGTAAGGGTATTATGTCTTTGTGCATTTGTTTGTAACATAGAGAAGGAACTATGTCTCTATAGTTCCTTTTGGCGATCTGCATAGGTCCGGCAGTCCGTCTTCCCATGCATTTTTTGCCCGATCGATATGAAATTGTTTGGCTCATGGAGGAACCCTATTGAAAATGGAGACAACGGTCAAAATTTAATTGTAGCTTTCATACATATCTTCGTCTGATTTGTCTTTTATTCTGCACCAAATGTGTAAAACAAGTCTAAATGGGATGAATGTCGGCACATGTAACCAAATTGAGCATAGAAGAAAGTATCTCAAATTTAGTGCAAATCGGTTAAGATATAGTTATAGCTCTCATATATATTTTTCTTCCGATTTGCTACTTTAGTCCCCCACCAGCGTAATATGCACTCCATAACAACGATATTCGGGAAAATATGTCAAATACGGCTCAGAAATAATTTTGCCAAATTTTATCAAGATAGGTTCAGATTTGGATATAGCTCCCATATATATATTTATTTATTCGATTTCAAATTTATTATGCACTATACTGCAACAAAGTCAAACGCTATCATTTTTACATTTGTTTTTAAATTTTATTGAATGAAAGCAAAAAATGTCGGATATAGGATAAAATTTTAAAATAAGTTTAGATTTGTTCGAATTGGTCACCTTTGGCACGAATTATGGCCTTCAAACGGCCAATGAAACCGTCACACGCTGCCCGAATGTTGCTGTGCGGTATTTTGGTACATTCCCGGCGAAGCGCTTGCTTGAGGTTATCGACACTTTGGTATTTTTTAGTGCCAGCCTTGCTTTCCAAAATAATCCAGGCATAATAGTCGAACGGATTGGTATCCGGAGATTTTGGTGGCCATTGTGCGCTGGAAATGAAGCGAGGGACCTCATTTTGTAACCATTCATGGGTGGCGCAGGCTGAGTGCAATGGTGCTGAGTCCTGTTGGAATGTCCAAGGTATGCGGCCAAGGCTTTAATACTCCCTACTGAATATTTTCGCGATAATATTCGGCATTTATACTGATGCTACGGTCGATTAATACGAGCGGAGAGCGACCATCGTCTGTTATGGCGGCCCCATCACCACTATCATCATGGCTGGCGCTTGAGTTCTGGCGGCCAACCGAAGGTGCACATTTTCAACTGACCTCTTTGGCAAGTAAACATGATCATTTTGTTTGTTTACAAACTGCTGGACAACGGATCGGAGAAAACCAAATTCGACAGTTCACCTCTTTCGGCCAAGCGAAGCAAATCTTTAGCTCTTGTGAGCTCTTTCAGTAGCGGTGTAAGTTCTTGCACTTTTTCGAATTTCAATGGCTTTATCCCAGCTCATTTTTCAATATTTGCCAAATGGAATATTGCGATATATTCAGCTGACGAGCCATTTTGCGGTCACTGCGACGCAGGTTTCGATCAAGTCGCTTCTTCACTTTTCGAACAATTTCTGCTGATGTTGCTGTTATCTTCCGTCCACTTCCTTGTTTCATCCGATGTTGTTTGTATGTCTCTCACAACCGTTAAATTCTCTCCTTATTTCATGGAGATTGGTTTGGATTCGGATATAGCTTCCATATACATGTCTAAAAAGTCTAATATCACCTCAATTGGAATGGATTTTGGTAAATATCGCTTCAGACACAAATGCCTCCGTCAAATTTAGTAGAAATTGATTAATTTTCGTCTAGAAAAAAATCTGCCAAGTTTAGATCAAGAGGCTCCGGATACAGCTACATCTCCAATTTTAATTTAAGCCATCTTAATGTCATATCATGCACTCTACCGCAATCAATAATGGGCAGTGTTGGTAGGATTTACTTCACATAAATTCAAAATATAAATATTTCCCCGTCATGGATAGCTTTAAACCGTTCGTCTTTGAATCAACGTCGTAGTGTCTATTGTTCCAAGTTTAAGAAATTCAATCTGAAGCCTTTTCCCTTTAGCATCACTGAAACTATGTAACACTCAAAACCCATAAATACATCTTTTCTTATTAGCATAAAGTATATTTGATGCAATATTGTTGTATAACACACACACACACGCACACACAAAGGTCAAACTGTCATTATCATAAGTTGCGAATATAATTTTGCTGCAAAAAGACTTGAGAAAAAGTTTTAAGCTCTGACACTTACACGGACACTTTAAGAACATAATTGTGTTCATTTAAGGAGCCGAATTTGTTAAAATTCCTCAACTTGGATGGAACACACGCGAAATTACTCACACACCCCCACACACAACCAAACGTGTACTCATTGTCAATGTTTGTACACAGGCCCGACTCTGTATGTCACACACATATACGTACACACACACATGCACACTCAGCTTAATGTATGCAGACAACCTTGTGTTGCCAGCGTCTCATAGGACCCAATCTGGGGACATGGGAAGTGCAAAATTAAAGCAACTCAAAACGAATGCCCATCTCGTCGGCGACTGATGTGAAGGTTAAACGCTGCGAATTATGACGAGCAAATAGCCCAGCGGCAACATTACCGTGGCCATAATTTATGGCAAAACTTTCTGAAATTTAATTTAAATTAATGTCGACGACATGTTTTAGCCGCCGTTTTTTTTCTTTTCAAATAAAAAAAGCCCAACTGCATTATCCTACTGTTTACACTTCTCCCGTCTAGTTTTACCGCCAGCTAATGTGGCTTTGTGCGTATGTCTGAGGGTGTACGGGTGCCTGTGGAAACACACGTACCCCCACAAGGAAGAATTTCACTTGGAAATGTTTGACGTTACGGCTGAATAACTTTTGTGAAAAGCTTCTACAAAAATGCGGTTAAATGGTTTGCGCTTTACTTTCATCCTTCCTCATGCTGCCAATTTTTATTCAGAGCAAATGTTTTTGGCGGGTTAGGGACAAGGGCGGTCGGTCGGTCTGCACAAGTGAAAAAGTTTAAGATTTAATTTGGCAAAAATCCGCACAAAGAACCAGTCGATTGATTTGTTTGTCGCAATCGTTTTGCAGCCAAACTGGGAACATTGCCCGCATAGCCATTGCGGACGGCAGCAATTCCGCCATTTGGAGCCATTGTCATCGTCTTATCTTTAAATCTCGGTTAAGCTTTAATTCAGAAAGTATTACTTTAATTTAATAGAGATATTGAAACATACCCACCCTGAGAATGTTAAGCGGGTGTTGATATGAATGGGGAAATTTAAAGTGAAAAGGATTTTGAGGTTTTATCGCCACAAGACACTTTGATGTGGTCTCACATACGACGCAATATGAGAGTGAGGTAAATGCGGAAAGTATCGTATGTGTTGTTCTGACACGTTTTCAAAATTTTTCTTTCTGCGAAATGTTAATTCTGCAAGAAATAAAAAGTTCCAAAATTCTAGACGAAAAACAAAGAAAATATAAATTATTGAAAATTAAGAAACTTGGGAAGCAGATTGAGACTGATTTTGAATTCTTACATAATGCATTGCATTAATAGGTAGGCAAATGTTTCTCTGTAGAATAGTTGTTTATTCGGACAACTATCAGTTTGTTTCTAAGGGCCACTAGATTGAATTATGGTACTCTTTGCGTTCATACTCTTCTATATCTATAAAAGAGGAAAATGTTTGTATGTTTGTTTGTAATTTATGGACTCGAAACCCGCTGCAGATTTTCCTGAAAATTTCCAAGTTTACTACAACATTGCCTGAATGTAACATAAGCTATATACATTTTTGAAATTCCACTTGGAACTGGAGATATAGCATCAGAATCGAAGGTACCTACCAAAAACTTAGATTTTATATGTACATATCTATTGATTGATGATTCATAATTTGGAACAAAAATAAATTTTGAAAAAATAATATTGAAATCGGTTCAGATTTGGATATAGTTCCCATATACAGGGTGAGAAAAAACTGCAACAAAGTCTAACGCCATAATTTTTAATTCTTTTTTTAAATTTTATTTAATAAAAGCAAAAAAATATCGGAAATAGCATCAAATTTTAGAATAAGTTTAGATTTATTCGAGTTGGTCACCTTTGGCACGAATTATGGCCAATGAAACCGTCACACGCTGCCTGAATGTAGCTCTGCGTTATTTTGGCCCATTCCCGCGCTTGAAGCGCTTGTTTGAGGTGATCGACACTTTGGTATTTTTTAGTGCCAACCTTGCTTTCCAAAATATTCCAGACACAGTAGTCCAACGGATTTGTATCCGGAGATTTTAGAGGCCATTGTGCGCTGCAAATGAAGCGAGGAACCTAATTTAGGTGGCGCGTGCTGAGTGCGCGTGGTCTGCGGCCAAAATGTTTGATTGCCCAAGGCTCTAATACACCCTCCAGAATATTTTCACGATAATATTCGGCTTTTATTCTGATGCCACGGTCGATTAATACGAGCGGAGAGCGATCATCTGCTGTTATGGCGGCCTACACCATCACCATGAGT